AGGGGGTCACCCATCCCAAGACTACTCCCGTGCAAGCACGCTTAATTTTGGAGTTCTTAGTGATGAGCTCCCTTAAAAGGAGATGCATCTTGTTGGTATGAGTAGTACTATTAATCCTTTTCAATTAATCTCGGGTATTACAATCACCCCCACTTAGGAACGCAACGTCCTCGTTGCGCCCTTAAACCAATCTCAATCAAACCACGAAATCTTTTCCCCTGCTAAGTGTCTGCCCAATATTCAACGGATCAGCACACTCTCGCAGGGTTGCTCTGATACCACCTGTAACACCCCGGCCCCGTGGGACCCCGAGGTAGTTACTCCGGACCAATAGTACTGTCCTCACAAACCGCCACTAGCCTTCTACGCGCACTTTGTCCTAACTCATGCGCGCCCTGAGAGACTTCCCAGGGGGTCACCCATCCCAAGACTACTCCCGTGCAAGCACGCTTAACTTTGGAGTTCTTGGCTAATGAGCTCCCTTAAAAGGAGATGGACCTTGTTGGTATGAGTAGTACTATTAATCCGTTTATATGAAATCTCAAGTGTTACAATCACCCCCACTTAGGATCACAACGTCCTCGTTGCGCCCTTAAACCAATCTCAATCAAATCCCAGAATCTTTTCCCCTGCTAGGTGGGGGTGATTGTAACACTTGAGATGGGTGACCATTAGCCAAGAACTCCAAAGTTAAGCGTGCTTGCACGGGAGTAGTCTTGGGATGGGTGACCCCCTGGGAAGTTTCTCAGGGCGTGCATGAGTGAGGACAGTGCGCGGTAAAGGCTCGTGGTGGTTTGTGAGGACAGTACTAGAGGTCTGGAGTAACTACCTCGGGTCCTGCAGGGCCGGGGTGTTACAGGTGGTATCAGAGCAACCCTGCGACAGTGTGCTGATTCGTTGGATATCGGGCAGACACCTAGCAGGGGAAAAGATTCTGGGATTTGATTGAGATTGGTTTAAGGGCGCAACGAGGACGTTGTGATCCTAAGTGAGGGTGATTGTAACACTTGAGATTTCATATAAACGGATTAATAGTACTACTCATACCAACAAGGTGCATCTCCTTTTAAGGGAGCTCATTAGCCAAGAACTCCAAAGTTAAGCGTGCTTGCACGGGAGTAGTCTTGGGATGGGTGACCCCTGGGAAGTTTCTCAGGGCGTGCATGAGTGAGGACAAAGTGCGCGGTAAAGGCTCGTGGTGGTTTGTGAGGACAGTACTAGAGGTCTGGAGTAACTACCTCGGGTCCTGCAGGGCCGGGGTGTTACATGTCAAGCACCAATTGTCTCCTTCTTGTTTCCAAACTCCGGACGAGTCTTGCCTGTTGCCAAATAACTATGCCGAATAACTGTAACACTTGAGATTTAATATAAATGGATTAATAGTACTACTCATACCAACAAGATGCATCTCCTTTTAAGGGAGCTCATCCGCTAAGAACTCCAAAGTTAAGCGTGCTTGCACGAGAGTAGTCTTGAGATGGGTGACCCCCTGGGAAGTTTCTCAGGGCGCGCACGAGTGAGGACAAAGTGTGCGGAAAAGGCTAGTGGCAGTTTGTGGGGACAGTACTAGAGGTCTGGAGTAACTACCTCGGGTCCTGCAGGGCCGGGGTGTTACATGTCAAGCACCAATTGTCTCCTTCTTGTTTCCAAACTCCGGACGAGTCCTGCCTGTTGCCAAATAACTATGCCGAATAACTGTAACACTTGAGATTTAATATAAATGGATTAATAGTACTACTCATACCAACAAGATGCATCTCCTTTTAAGGGAGCTCATCCGCTAAGAACTCCAAAGTTAAGCGTGCTTGCACGAGAGTAGTCTTGAGATGGGTGACCCCCTGAGAAGTTTCTCAGGGCGCGCACGAGTGAGGACAAAGTGTGCGGAAAAGGCTAGTGGCAGTTTGTGGGGACAGTACTAGAGGTCTGGAGTAACTACCTCGGGTCCTGCGGGGCCGAGGTGTTACAGGTGGTATCAGAGCAACCCTGTGACAGTGTGCTGATCCGTTGGATATCGGGCAGACACCTAGCAGGGGAAAAGATTCTGGGGTTTGATTGAGATTGGTTTAAGGGCGCAACGAGGACGTTGCGATCCTAAGTGGGGGTGATTGTAACACTTGAGATTTAATATAAACGGATTAATAGTACTACTCATACCAACAAGATGCATCTCCTTTTAAGGGAGCTGATCCGCTAAGAACTCCAAAGTTAAGCGTGCTTGCACGGGAGTAGTCTTGGGATGGGTGACCACCTAGGAAGTTTCTCAGGGTGCGCACGAGTGAGAACAAAGTGTGCGAAAAAGGCTCGTGGCGGTTTGTGCAGACAGTTTAGAGGTCTGGAGTATCTCGTGTATGCGCTAATCCCGTTATGGGTGAATTATGTAATTGGGCCATGTTCCGAATCCATGGTACCATCACGAGTAAAGTTACGAGACTAATAATGGGGATAACAAGAAATTACATAACTACAATTACAAATCTCTCAAATATAAAATTTAATAATATCATAATAAAAGAGACTTACGGCTTGTGTTCATAATTCTTTTTTTTTGGGGGGGGGGGCAAATAATTTCTAATAGTAATATTTATACAAAAAAACTAGGGAGGCCATGGCCCCTTAACCTCCTATGTGCCTCCGCCCCTACCAGTGGGTGAAAAAACTGGGGCTTTATCTAGTAATTTTCCTTTACCCGAAGACATTCGAATTACTTTCATCTCTATTTGTAGTAGCAGGTACAAATATACTGTTGGTGGAGTCTATCACATTACAAGGTTAACGAGTTGGTTCATTAGTTCATTACTATGCGTTCTTTCAACTCTATGTCTCACCCTGATGTAGCCTTTAATTTGCTGGTTTTGTATCTTGTAATCCTTGTTAATATTAATTGAGTTGCCTTTTATCAAACAAAATGTTCCTATATTTCTGTAGTGCTACTATTATGAGTAATTCTTGTCAAAATCATGTATACCCAAAGGCTAAAGCACACACATTTAATATTAGTGCGTACTCAAATTAGAAATACGATATTTTAATTAATATGATCAAGATATACGGTGGGAGTGTTTGATTGATAGCTAATCAGCCAATTTTTGGTTTTTTTGACCATGATTTGGCTTGTTAACTGGATCCATCAGATATACGGTGAGAGTGTTTGATTTAGTGATGGACCCGGTTCGGGCCACCCGGCCCGGGAACCGGTCCGGCCCGGTACTGTCCGGGCCCGGCCCGGCCCGGCACTGTCCGGGCCCGGCCCGGGAACCGGGTACCGGTTCCGGGTCATTGGCCCGGTTTAGGAAGGATAGCGGGGTGGGTACGGGTCTAGGGAATATGGAACCAGCCCGGCCGGTTCCAGGCCCGGTTCGAGCTTTATTCTTTTTTTTTTTTTAAATTTTTTTTAACTTTCCGGGTTGGGCTGGGCATTTTGGGCTGGTTTGGGGGTGGGGGTGGGGGTGAGGGGGGGGTCGGGGGTTAATTAGAAAAAGCAAAAAAAAAAAAACTAAACTGGCCCGACCCGGACCCGCTGGTAACCCGGGCCGGTCCCGGGCCTTCCCCCAATCACAAAAGGCCTGACCCGGCTCGGCTCCATGCCTAGTTTGATTGATAGCTAATCAGCCAATTTTTGGTTGTTTTTGACCATTATTTGGTTTTTTTTTACCATGATTTGACCTTTCCGTTTTTTTTCGTAAATTTTCCACGTTTACGCCTTCTCTTCTAAAATAAATATCTCCCTCTCTTATCTTCTTCGTACTGGCAAAGGTTCACGTTCAACGGAAACAACAATAGCACAGTGGAGGTAAATATTTCGTGCAACTGAGCATAGCCCACAGTGCTCCCAAGTAGCATAATCAGTGTCGTGACTATGAAAAAATCTGTCAAAATCTATTTTTTTATAAGAAGACATAATTACTCTAGTCCACATTTTAGTTCGTAAGAAAAAGGTTAACAAGAGGATTTCTTCGAAGACAATAGGCTAGATCACGTGTTTAATATGCTCTACTCCTTTAAGAAGAATCGATTTTCCTTGGTTAGAGAATGACACGCTGGTATAGTGGTATCCCTATTTTCCTTGGTTAGAGAATGATCAGGGACGGATCCAGGATTTTAAGTCAAGAGGGGCGAAATTTCTTTTGTGGACGGGTGAAAAATTTTCTGCTAGTGTAGCGGACGAATTTTCGCTAGTGTAGCGGAGCATTTTCTTTTGCTAGTGTAGCGGGGCGATTTTTTTCGCTAGAATAGGGCTCTACGGCTATTTTTATTCAAAAAAGTTCATTTGATAGACATACACGATGACATTTAAATCTATAATATTCTAAATTTAAACAATGAAAAATTAACTTTGATTTTGTGATTGAAATAATCTAGAAAAAGTATTGATACATTAAAGCGTAAGAGATGGTAAATCAAAGGAAGATTATTTGAAAATAAAAAAGGATATATAACATTTTAATTATCAAATTATTTGAAGAAAAATTTAAAAGGTACACTACCAAAAAAAATCGCCATAGGGTCGGATTTTGGCTCGGATCACTTCATAAAAATCCCAGACTATCGTCGTTGGCACGGATTTGACACGGATCATGAATCCGTCGCACCTGGCTCGTGCCAAACGAGTTGGCACGACACAATATATCCGTGCCAACCCTTGGCTCAGATTTAGGAGCGGAAATATCCACGCCAACCATACTTTACAGGACCCAAATACTTTGTCTCGGATTTGAATTGGCACGGATTTAGGGACGGCTATTGTCGGGTCGGCCAAAACAAAACCCGTTTTGTTGTCACGGATAACGGCCGCGCCAAACCTTCAGCAATATCACCATTCTACCCAGGAATGTTGGTACGGATAAATCCGTGCCAAATGGATTTACCAAAAAAAAATGTACACCATACATATGTATGGTGTACATTTTTTCCCCCTGCATGGTTAGAAACAAAACAACATTAAAAGCACACATCTATATAGAACACATGCAAATATGCAATATAGAGAACATTATAGTCCAGGCAAATAAAACAGTAAATAAAAGACTAAATGTACAGAATACTAAATTATTACATTCCAGGCAGATAAACCACTGCCAAAACAATAGTAAAAATGGCAAGTAAATTGCCAGAAGATGTCCAGAACCAATACGGAAATTAATATTGTTTTTTCATCACGCAAAGATATCTTCCAGTCGCACTTCATTCGAGTCATGAAGCATGTTCATTTGGGCAGAGGTCGGGGTACGAAAATCCGAGAAATCAGGCAGCGGGACGGAAGGGTTCACACTTCGCACTTGTTCCATGTACGCCGTAAACGCGGAGGTCATGTTCGCCATCTGGGTTTGCCACTGCTTTTCCTACTCCGCAAATCAGGCTTCGAGCTGGTTTTTTATGCGGGCATCGATTTCCTGCTGAGTCGGCCCCGATATCCGGCTAGAACATTCAACGTCCAATAGCGCTTCGGCTTCAGATCCCGTCCCAAACCGCCTGCCTTTGTACAGCGGCACCACCGCGCAAAACAGCTCAGAATCATCCACTTCGTACGATCTCCCTTGAGACTCAGCCTGGGCTTTCATTTCATTGTATTTTTGCTGCACAATAAGAAAATACGGGGTTCAAATATACTCATACTATAATACAATAGTATGAAAAAAACTGATATATACCTTTGTTTCAACTACACGTGCCGGGGGATCACCAGATTTCGGGACATACACCTTGTCAGACACCTCAATCTTCAATGGGGGCCGATTCAACTCCTTCGTCTACAAATTTAAACAGTACACAGTTCATTATAGGTTAAAAACTCTTAGATTTTTTTTTAAATTTATAATATAAATCTTACCAGCCTTTCAACATGCGCAGTCACCGGTATCCTTCCACCGCGATACTGTGACTCTTTCCCTGCTTTAGAATTTCTGTTCTTCTTTCCAGCACGGCTTTTCTTCTTAAACGCATCAGAGGACCAATACTCTAGCAACAGCTTCCAATCTCCTTCACCAATCCAGTCCGGCTTCTTGTTGTCCCGCCTAGCTCTACCAATGTTTTTGCTCAGCCATTCAGAGGCCCGAGACTTGAACTTCTTCTTTATTTTGGTATTAAAGCAGACATCCCACTCATACTTCCTCTGAAAACTCAAAAAATAAGTTATAGCAAAATAGCACACAATCTGTCAAAGAAAAACTAAGTGTAAGTACGTTCCACATACCTGAAACAGTTTCCACCAATGGTTGCGTTGATCAGCATCCGCATTCATATAAGAACGCCACGACCCGTGAAAATTGTTAGTGAGGATTGAAATGATGTTGTTGAGGACAGATGGATTGCTACATCATGAAAGCACTTATTAGTAATGTATAGGTCAAAATTATTTATATAGAATAAAATAATGTAGTATTACTCTTTACCTTCTCATTTCAAAGGGTGAAATGAAGGTCTTCCTGGGAACGGATTCTTCAGGGGTTGAAGAATCAAAACCATTTGGCTGATCATCAGAGAGGTGTCGAGATTGGATAGACTCATGCGAATCAGCTACAGGAGAGTTCTGGTCATTCCGGACTATGTGTGGGCTACCTCCACCACCCCGACCCCCGCGGGAGGAAGTAAACGAAGTGAATGAACCTCTACGAGCAGACATTCTATTGAAACGCATAACAAATTTATAGACAGAGACTAGTGAAACAGTTAGGCTATGACCAAATGCATACAAAAAAGAAGTATAGATTTAATAATATAAACAGATTGTTACACCTAGTTATAAAAGGAAGTAATACACAGATTGTCAAACTGCCAGATTAATTACCAACTTATAATTCTACATCATGTATATACGGTTTTACAGCTTTCATAATTATTCTAATTGGTTTAACATTATTTATAGTTAATTTTAGAGTTTGGCACTCAGAGGTATACAAGAGTTTTGAATTTATATACTTTGTTAATAAAAACTAAGTTTACGATACTGTATGGACAAGATGATTAGAATACTTCATTTGTAATAAAAAAAAATTAAAAAAAAAACTCATTATACCACTTCGTTTATAATACAAATTTATAATATTTATAAATATCACAATCATATTTATAATACTTCGTTCATAATATTAATTTATAAACACTTCTTTCATATAAATTTATAAATACTTCATAACTACCACTGTTATAATAGTTCGCTTCTAATTAAAAAAAATATAAACAAAAATATATGAACAAAAATATATATTACTTTGTTTGTAATTATAAATACAACTGTTATAATTTCTATTGTTAATAATACTTCATTTCTAAATTAAAAAATAAAACCACTTTAATACTATAGAAATCCCTTTGTCATAATTTTATATAGATGATAATCCTTCATAAATAGTTTATAAAAAATCATTTACAAACTAATTTTAATACCCAAGTCTCACGTTGCGCGGCTCAAAAGCAAATTGAGGATAACACCTGTCAAAATGCTTCCACGCTGCGGAATCTGATGGATAACACATTAACCCTTCTTCAGTGTCATGCTCTACATACCACGTCATGTGTTTAGCGGTGGCGCTTGAGGCATATAATCTCTGCAAACATGGTGCTAAAGGAAGATATATCAACTTAGATGCTGCAAATCTTTTTCGTGCTTTTCGACCCATACCTGATATGGGCTTGTACCTATCCGCATTACAAAACTTACACCGGATCAGTGTTTCGTCGTTCTTCCAAAACATCATATATCCTTCAGGGCATGCATGCATTTTTATCATAGGGAGACCTAACTCAGAAACAAACTTTTTCATGTTGTAGTAAGTATCGGGAAGACAATGGTCACGAGGTAACATACTACCAACTGAGTCTAATATTTTGGACATGCAGCTCTCAGATAGGTTATATTCTGACTTTATGTTAAGAAATTCAGAAACTGCTGATAATTGGGAATGATAATAACAGTCAGAATATAAAGGCTGATCCGCACTTTTGAGCACTTCTTGAAAACTAGTGCCTAACACGTCCACATCATAATATGATGAACTTGGTCCTTCATTCACATTATTGTGTGCGTTGAACTCACTATCCGTGTGGATATTGGGAAACGTAGAAGGATCAGCCAAATCATAAAGTATTTTTTGCTCCCATACAATTTCTTCATAATTTCCCCAATTAGCCATCTCGTCGGGAACATACCTCGATGTTCCTACGTTTTGCGGCAACAGCTCTGGCTCAATTGGTTCTTCTTGAGAAGTCCAGTTGTAATAGTTTTCAACAAAACCATGCGTATATAAATGCCAACAAACCTCCCCACCATCAACAAATTTGTTACTCTTACACTCTATACAAGGACATCTTATTTTACTTCCATCCATATAGCGTGTTTGCCCTTGTGCGAATCTAATAAATTCGTTAACTCCATTTTCGAACACTTTTTTCAATCCTCTACCATTTTCCTTGTAGCGGTCATACATCCAACTTCTAGTTTGTCTATACATTGTGCCTGAATATTAAAAAATATCTTAATAATTTATTTTGACAATATATCTTAACGAAATTAATTTATTAAATTTAGAAATTAATGTCTCACGTTTTAAAGCTAACACTAGAATTCAATCAATATAATTAAGACAAATAATACTGATAACAACTCGTAATATGCATATGATCAAATTAATTTAAACACAGAATGGTCGAAATTAACATACCTTAAGTACAACGACGATACCATGTAATATAAAGTAAGAAATCCAAATATAAACCTCCAGATATCAAGTAATATAACTTCCAATTTCTATCCAGAATTCATCATACACAAAGATTAAAGACATCATTTTGAGAGATGTAGTTTCTTTCACACACCAAGCATGTATTTGTAGAATTAGTAGGCACGGAATTTGGGACGGAAATACCCCAGCCAAAATGTCCCAACGGCCTTCATTGTCTCGGATATTGGCACGGAATACCATTTAGGGAGAAAGTGGGGAAGGCAAATTAATGGTTAAATTTTGGCACGCCTTTTGGGTCTGATATACGCCTGCCAACATAACGTCTACATTTTGGTACGGATATAAGGACGGAAATGGGCTCAGCCGAATATGATGCGGAGTTGACGCGGATATAGGCACGGAACCATTGGCACGGAATCGCGCCACACCAACTTTGAACAAAAAGTGCCCCACGTTGGGACGGACATAGTTCTCTGCCAACTTGTCTCGGACTTTGCGACGGATTTAGTCGCTAGCCAAATGATTTGAATTTTTTTCGGTCTTGGCACGGAGGTAGGGTCGAAAAGTTCGAGACAAACGTATTGGCACGGATAAATCCGTGCCAGAGACGGAATATGCCGACTATTTAGGCATTCCGTGCCCACATACGTGCCAAAATTGTCTATGACATATTCCGTGCCTAAATCCGTGTCTATAACGAGTTTTTTTGGTAGTGGTAATTATCTATTAATACTTTTTAAATAACTACTGTCTTGTTTAACCACATGAATATTATCACAATAAAGATTTGATTTTTGAATTGCAATAGTATATGTATGAGATTATTACTTTTAGAATAATATTATGATACTAATCCATATATTTGGTGCATATTATATTTGTATCAATGCTAAAATAAGTTAAAGTTTATTATATATGCAAAAAATTGTTTTTATGATGTAAGAAGTAAATGAATTGTGTAATTTAATGTCAACAAACATTTATATTTTAAATTCACTTCACATGATCTAAAATTGTTTAAGTAGTGTGTCTGGTCTTTAATTTTATTTGATATTTTCCAAAACCGAGTGCTAATTATCTAACAGAGATAAAAAGAAATGGCAGAATCTAACAAAGACAATTAAACATTACAAAACTAGGAATATTCATATAATAAGTATCCTAAGTTTTAAACAATGAGTTGTTTTTATTGTTTATTTGTTTAAGTTATGTAAATTATTTTAGATGTTTCTTCTTTGGAATCTACAATTTAGTACGTAGTATTACATTATGTAAGACTATATATTAATTCTAAAACCTAGAAGTTAAGGGGGGCGAACACATATACTACGTATATATCTAACTAATATTACATATATACTACCTTTGTCCCATTTATATTGTCCCGGAAGAGGGTGGCACGATTATTAAGAAAAATGGGTTTGTGTGATTGATATTAATTGATAAAGTAAGAATAAAGTAAGAATGATTTAGAGCCACACAAACTTTGCCAAATATGGTATGGGATAATTTAAGTGGGACTTCCCGAAAAGGCAAAACGGGACAATATAAATGGGACGGAGGGAGTAATTGAAAATTTTGAAAGTCCAAGGAAGGCGGTCCCCCCCCCCCGCTTAAATCCATCCCTGAGAATGACACGCTGGTATAGTGGAATCCCTATCTTGCAATAGTTTTTTGTACTGGTAGTTAATTAAGCCGATCATTTTTGTTTTTGCTATGAAGTAACATGTTTTTGTTACGCGTTATGTGAAAGTGATATTAGAACTATAATTATACATAAAATGTATAACGTAATACTAAAGAAAACGTCAAAAAAAAAGAAAAGTATGTCCTTCAATGTCATTACACAAATTATCATTACACTTTAATCAGCTAGTTAACCAAACACCATTTTACAAACTCTTAATACTATCAGCCGATTAAAACAGCCAACTAAACCAGCGGTCATCTATCAACCTAAGCAAACGAGCAATTAAAAAACACCCCCAACAACATAACAATCATTTGTTCAGCAGTTCGCTACATCAACACTGTCGGATGGATTCACTTTATTATTTACAAGATTTTGACGTAAACGGCTATGTAGCATTAGAAAACACAATGTATATGTGAATCGACATGACGAGAATGGGATGACTACACGGGAGGTATGTTGGAGAATGAGAAACCGCTGTACCCCTTGTATGCATAGTACGCGATCCGAGTATAGTAGAACCCGGGCAGGAACAGAATTCCTCCCAGTATGGCGAAAAATAGCCCTGTAAACATCTCAAATATAAAAAGACACATTAGTTCACAAGAAATAATGCACATTGCATTGCATGCCTTCTTCTTTGAGTGGCCGGATAAAAATCCCAAGAAATAATAATTCGTTTATTTATTTTCATTCTCTTCTTTTTTCTCTTATCTAAATTTTCAGCTACACAATTTTCAACTTACCACCGCAAGTCATTGGCGCAAGATTCAGGACCCAAGATTTGGGCATGCGAGGATCACTACCCATTTGTTCTAAATATCCTAAATAGAAGGCTTATATGTGTTTTTAGTCCCTTCAAATATGACACAATTTGTTTTAAGTCCCTACAAAACTTTTTTCTTGGTTTTCATCCCTGCAATATGCACTGTTTTGTTTTAAGTCCATCTCTGATTCTGAGAATCTGAAACTACTCTACTTACAAAAAACATTATTGTCAATTACATGATACGACACAGAGAATTGGTATGGAAAATATTATTGAAATCGTAGAAAATAAGAAGAATACAGTCGAGACCAATTCGAGAGGGCCTCGATCTCTCCCAGATCCCAGTTTTCCCAAATCCCAGCCTCCTTTTCCTGACTCATCTGTTTGCCTTTTATTTCCTTTCTCCAGCCTGTCCAGCTTCCACATTTATTTAGACCACCCTTTTATTTCCTTTCTCCAGCTCAACCTGTTCAGCTTCCACATTTATTTAGGCCATTCCCCCCAAGCTTGATTCCCCCTATTATTAATAAAACCCTCCTAAAAGGGCCGGCCCTTAATTAAGTTATTGGGCTTAGAACCCTATTATTAAACAACATTAAAATACTAAATGGATTCTTATTATTTGTAGTGCCCAGGTCCCTATTTGTTTTTAGTCCATCTCTGATTCTGAGAATCTGAAACTACTCTACTTACAAAAAACATTATTGTCAATTACATAAATCTACTTGAAATACTCCGTATTTAAATACTTCCTGTTATAATTTTTTTGAGGCTAATATGAGAGTTAAAACAGCGTAAAACTAAGTATTCACATTTTAAAAATACATATTAAAAACCTTCCAAAAAATAAAATTAAATACTTTTTTAATAACATGACAAATAATTAGGGGAGATCTATTAATCGGAGTTATTTTGAGGTCAAAGGGAGATTGTTATCATCAGTGATGGACTAAAAAGAAAACCAAACTAAATTGTAGGGACGAAAAACAAAATGTACTATATTTGCAGGGACTAAAAACACATTTAAACCTAAAAAGAATTAAAATTTAACTCAAATGCACAAATAAGACTCCAGTTTATTATTATACCCCTTTATATAATAAAATAAAAAACCCAGGCTTCTATCGATCAATCTGAGCGGTTCTCCTTCTTAGCTACTCTTCTCTATACCACACCATCAAGTCACTGACTTTACAGTTTATCGCCACCGCACGTTCTCTGTCGCCATCACCATCTCTATTTACCGCCTCGTTACCCCGCCTCTTCTTCCACCATCGCTTTCGATTTCTGATTTCCAGGACTCCTCTGTTTTTCGAAATTCAGTTTTTCATTGATTTTGTCATTTTCAGAAGACATTTTCTAATTTCATTTCCTAATGACATTGATGCGGGAACTGTTCAAACCACTATTCACCTTACGGCTTGCCTCAAGATAGTTGCAGCAAATGCAATTACCTAATGGAAAATGGAGTTCACAGTATTGCTTTTTATTTGCTTGTTTGTTTAGGCATTGGTGGCTATTTAACTAGAGAAATGTTAATGGAATTAATAGAAAATCACTGAACCCCCCAATATAAAAACATTGAAGGTCATTTATATGTGTTCATCACAACTTCCATCTTTGGGTAAGTTTGGCATTAGTGGTTGGGGTTCTCAAGGTAGTCGAAAAGCAAGTACTTTCTGCCTATGTTGAAGCCATAGCTCGAGATTCTGCTTCTGTGCTAGAGCGTGAAACTTTTTCTTTCATTGCTTATCTTACATTATACCCTGTTTTCCTATTCTAACATAGGAGAACACAAACTATTGACAGGATGATAATTATACCGATTTACTTTGGCCAGAGCCTCCATATTGAGCAATTCAAGAAAAATCTAGAATATTATATACTCCGTAGATGTCTAACATTTCCTTTAAATATGTACACAAGAATTGAATGTTGGAAAATATTCTACAGTTTTCTAGAGGATATGAGGAATTATCAAAAAGCGTGTGGAAGAATGTAAAACATTCTAAAACATTTTGGAGCTTTCTATAAAAATGTGAAACTATATAATTGTGTATAAGTGCGTCCAAGCCTCTAGAACATCATTCTCAGTAGTTCTTGTGGTAATGCTGGGATTTCTTGGAAGACTAAAAAAAATTTAGAGAATAAAAAGTTCTAGAAAGCTCTAGAGAAGACTAGCTTGTTGCTTTAGAGTTTAGTGTAAATCTGAGTGAGACTCTTCGTTCCTGGGTGAACTTTGAGGAGAGCTCTCTCAAGTGAGTGAGAGTATGAGCTTCCCAGGAGTGAGAGCCTCCTTGAAAGAGAAGAGTGAGAGTCTTCTTGTGAGAGAAGAGAGCCCAAGGATATTTGTGATGAGTTAAGATGTTCGTGATGAGTGTAGTGAAAAGCTTCCTTGAGAGAGAGAGAAGAAAAACCAGGAAGGCTTCTATGTATTTGAGTGAGGTAGAGTAAAGTTGTCTCACGTAACTAAAGAGTGAAGTCAACTACTTGTATACTTGTAAAATATTTCTTGTAAACTCAATTGTATAATACAAAGTCATACTATCAACTTGAGTCTTTATATTGTGCGTGGGCGATGTTTACGAGAGTGTTATGAGCTCGTGATCACATAGATCGGAATGTGTTTCCCTTGTATTCTTCTACTTCAAAACCAAAATTTGAGACAAAATTCATAATAAAGATTTTAAAAATAACAGCAACAGTATTAGGGATTAGTGGAATACTATAGTTCACATCGGGGGGAAAATAAGTCCTTTTAAGAGGATGGCAAAACCTATTTGGTAACTCTGTTTCCAGCTTATCGGATTTATTAGTCTTATCAATTACTTTTTATTGAACACACGACTTTTGATTTCACATGTTGAATTGCATAATAAACAAAATGAGTAAGGTTGAAATTATTTTTTCAAGTTACCGTAGAAGACTATTTTAACTACTTTTCATATAATTTTTTTCTTAATCTAGGTGTTATCAAACGGCTTTATATCTTCCCAACAAGAACGAACAGGGCTGGTTTTAATCTATGTTTCATTTATGTATCTTGTAATTTTTAAACAATTGCAAGTATAGAGAAGTTTAAAGGCATAGAGATTAGGTAACACGAAAATATGTAGTACTACGTAGAACTCAACTCATAGTCCAAATTTTGATTTATTTACATCATGGCACGGTAAATTGACTAAATTCCTTGGCAGACGGAACCATGGCTCGTTATCACTACTTACAAGCCCCTCTTTTCGAAAGAAAATCACATTTGCCAGAGATTACAGTGGAGAGAAAAACCCAAGATAGACGAAGAAAAAGAATTTATGAGAAAATAATAGGCAGGATGAAGGAAAAATGAAAAGCATGGAAGGGGAAACTAGGGAAATCAGGGAAAGAGGAGTACCGTGTGCCCGGTCACCGCCTATCTGGTTGACGGCCATGAAAGTACCGAGGATGATTGCGAGGACGCCGAAGACGAGGAGAGAAACGGCTAGAGAGATCTCCTTCACCGGAGGTCGGTTGTTGAGGGTGTAGGGGGGGTCAATCATGATATCTTCATCGGATATGGAAAAAGCGTGATCTACATATGCCATGATTTCTTCCTCTAATAATGAACAGATCTAGAATCAAATTAATATTCCGAACACGATAGCTGAGACGGAAGCGGCGGCTAGGAGCACGGCGTTGGTCTTGCTGACGATTGGGGTAAGTGGAAGATGAGAAGAGGAGGCAGGTTTTAAGAGTTTTATCAGCTATGATTCCTTGAAGCAAACTAGCTTCCCCTCCTTCCCAATGCACGCAAAGGCTTTAATTTTGAGCAAATTAATAAAGTAGAACCTAGAGGCTAGAACGGCATGTAAAATCACCTCCCCAAGTTCGCCTAATTTATGACATTTATACCAAGGTAAAATAGCACTTTTAATCCTGGAAATAGTCATTATATCAAAATGTGAGATCCTTATTTCTTAGTTTATGAATGTCACCGTTCAATTGTTCAAATAGCTGCAAATGTAGTCTTTTGAGAAGTGAAATGTACAATGTGGACCAGGAGTACATTTCACCCCCCCAAAGGATCACATTTACAGCAATTTGAAAAATTGAGCGGTGACATTTACAATCTCAGAAATACGAGTCTCACATTTCAATATGATGACTATTTCAAGGATTAAAAGTATAATCTTCTCTTATATGAATGAAAAAGTGGTTTAAATGAAAATCATGTTTACAACTTTACATATAGTACTCCTCATTAAGATGTTTTTTTCTTTTAATTTTTTTAAATCAATTATGAACTAGATTTATGTAGGGAAATGGTCCAAAATAGAAGCAAAAGAAGGCCGGTGTACCCAAAAAGGAGTCCTTCCTTTTAAATTACCTAAACGGGAGTGTTTTTAATGTACTAGCAGCACGTCAACCCTTCTATGTCCTCTCTCTTCTCTTCAATGTTGCTATCTTCTTCTCTACCTTTCTTTCATTTTCTAGCTTACATAGCCAGGATCATGATGTGCATACTAGCGTAACAACGGAGGCGGCACACAGTAGTTGAAGAAGACGAAGTGATGGAGCCACAAGCCGCCGCCACTGGAGGCAATTTTGGGGCGGTGGTGACGATGAGTCTTCTTCTCCATTTTCTCTTCTTCGTCTTCTTGTACTTTTTCTTCTTCTCTTCATCTTCTTCTCCTTTCCTTCTTCTCCCCCTTTCACCCTTCTCGTATGTTTTGCTTCACCTGTTTGTTTGTTTGTTTGTTTGTTTGTTTGTTTGTTTGTTTATTTGTTTATTTATTTATTTATTTATTTATTTATTTATTTATTTATTTATTTATTTATTTATTTATTTATTTATTTATTTATTTATTTATTTATTTATTTATTTATTTATTTATTTATTTATTTATTTATTTATTTATTTATTTATTTATTTATTTATTTGTTATATTCCACTATTTGTTTGGTTTAGTTTTGATAGAGCTTCTTCTAACTGAAAACTGCTATTTTTTTGAAAGACTGGAAATTTCTATTTGAGATCTGAAAATTTTTGGATTGGAAAATTCAAGGCCCAATTATTTGGAATAGGAAATTTTACAATCTGTTTATTTTTATTTTTTGTGTTCCTACTAATTTATTTTAAAAAATAACATTAATTTTTCTAAGGATTATGAATCTGAAAATGGAAGTTTGAACATATAATCATACCATTTTTAGTCTTTCCTTTATCTAGATGGAAATAATATAATAGTATTGTAAATATAGTGGCATGTTCTAAAATGTCACTTTGACAAATAATATCACTTTTATGACATGACTTTATTTCTTCTCTTTTTTACATTCTGGTTTTTAATCCCGCCGTTTTTACCTTAAAGTGGCATTATATTATACGAAATTGCCATCTTTTTATGTGTTGAGGTTTATTCCTTTAACCCAAAGGTCCAACACGTCCCTATAGATTTCGTGTGGAATGTTTAATGGATGTATGATGCAAGCAAGTAAAGAAGGGCCAATGATGGGGGTAGTATGTGGGCCGTAACTTATTAAATAATAAGGGTATGTATACAATACACTTCAACTACAAGCCCCGAGACCGTTCATCTATCTCAGTAAGAAGAGCTAGAGATAATTGCTATTGCTAGAGGGAATAAGTTGACAACCATTTAAAATAAAATAAATGCTACTCCCTCCGTCCCCTTTTAAATGTCCCATTTTACCATATTGGGATGTCCCTATTTAATTGTCTCATTCCTTATTTGGTAAAGTTTGTGTGGCTCAAAATCATTCTTACTTTATCAATTAATATCAACCACACAAACTCACTTTTCTTAAAACTCGTGCCACCTTCTTCCGTCCCGATAAAAAAGGGACGGAGGTAGTACTATTTATACTATCGAGAGGTAGGTGATGTTGATGACGTGGAGGGCTGCGAGTGGCTAGTTCCCCAACCACCAAATCTACCGCATTAAATGTGATTCCCGCCAATATCTTTATTTCTAGCCTAGTGGTTTGGACGAGCATCCACCGGGTCTTGGGCCTAGGCTTTGGCTAGGCACAAGGGCGAGGCTTCGCTCGGCTCATGTGGGCTACCTAACCAAAGATCGGTTAACATTTGGCCAAGGTTGCTACGGCCGACCGTCCTGGGGATCCAGACGAGCATTTGTTTATTATCTTGCCTGTCGTGCCTGTACCACCCACCCCGCCCAGTCTGGCCGGTTTGGGGCGAATGTCACTGTCGATTATCTTTTAATAAAAATTCCCGATAAAATTACGGAGTAATTAAAATATAAAATAAAAGTCCAGTTTTGACTTTATTTTAATAAGCCTTATTAATTAATCAAAAGCTGACTCAGAAAACTGTAATAGATTGTCACAAAATAATTGTTCAATTACTCAAAAATACGTATAAAGATTTCATATAATCTTACTCAATGCTTCTTTAATACAAATCAATTCAGAATTCTTTTCCCATCTTTTCAACCAGATTAAGGTGATTTAGATTCACATAGCAGTAAACTGGAACATATACCCCTTAAGAAAAATATTCATACATACTTTTTGCTCGAATTCATAAACGAAGGATCCAACTTTCTGAATACACAATTCTTTAATCTTTTATTTTAGTCTTTACTCTTTTGGACCAGACTCTAGCTAGGATAGAGATAAAGTAATTTCGAACAAAGTTCTAGTTATTTTAATAATCAGATAACAGAGATTTTCAAATCACAAGGATCATCAGATAACAGAACAGGAATTCAAAGGACCCTGGCCTGGGCCGTATGCTAGCACACCAGAGGAGTCGTAGTCGGTAAAACCAACTCGTATCCAAAACAGAATAGAACAGAGGTACCCATAACTATCATCTAAATCCTGGAGTAAGGCTAATTTCCAAAATATTTCTTAAATGGATGTATTATTGAAAAATGTGATATATAATTATGTGTTTTTTCCAAAAATAATGTTAAACAAAAACACATTTCCCAGAATATGGTTTGGTTAAAAATATTTCCCAAAATACTGCTCCCTTAACCCCAATTAAAAGAACCGCCACTTGAAATTGCGGCTTATGCAAAACAGAGTAACACCGAGTAATGCGCCTGGAAACAAGCCAAAGCAAGCAATTCATGTTGTAATATTGAGCTAGGGCCCTACAAAAATAAAAATCCCATTTTTATTTCAAACTGATATAACTTTTTTATTTGTACTCAAATCATTACAAAAAATACACCAAAATTCATAACTTTTTATTATCTTTTATATGACACCAATATTGAATATATAAAAATTAAAAATCAAATACTTTAAAAATGTCCTTTTTTCTAAATGATGCATCTTTTTATGTGTACTCCGATTGTAACAAAAAAATATTAACAAATTCATAATTATTTATTATATTTCATACGACACCAATTTTGAATATGTAAAATAAAAAAAATTAATTTTATTAATTTGTGCAGTTTATGATATTTTTTAATGGGCACACAAATAATCAGCAATAATAGATTAGAATAAGGATGTTTTTTTTTGGATTGTAATTGACTGGTCTAGTCTGATCTGATCTTTTTACGCCTGATCTGATCTATTTAAGTAGGGTGTGATCTATTTATCTTTAGTATGATCTGATCTGGTCTGGGACTGAAAACAAGTCAAAAGAAAATATCCTAAAACTACACAAGGAAGAAAACAATAAGTAAAAATGATAGAATTTGTGCAGTTTTATTTTAACCTATAACTCCAAATAAATGTGGCATTGTAAATAATGATTCCAAAATGCACAAATTAGCAAAAATGATTTTAAATTTTATATATTCAAAATTAGTTTGTTATGAAAGATAACAAAAATTTATAAATTTTAATATATTTTTTGTAACGATGAAGTACAAATAAAAAAGATATACTACCTTCGTCCCCCTAAGTTTGGGACACGAGAATGTGTCACGATTATAAATAAAAGTAGGTTTATGTGGTTGATATAGAATTGATAAAGTAAGAATAAAGTAAGAAGAGAATATTACCCAAAACAGGACTAAAAAGGTCTGAAAATTCCAAAATAGGACTACCATGTTTTTATTCTCAAAATAAGACTAATTATTGTCATGTTTTGGCAGTATCAGACTTCAAACATGGCAGTATTTTCCAAACTTGACATTAATTACTCCTATTTTGGGAATAAAAAACATGACAGTCCTATTTTGGAATTTTCAAATTGTTTTAGTCCTATTTCGGGAACTTTCCCAAGTAAGAATGATTTAGAATCACACAAATTTTACCAAATAAGGTACGAGACAATCTTAATGGGACGGACCGAAAAGGTAAAATGGGACAATCATAGCGGGACGGTGGGAGTAACATTTACAAAAAAAAGGTGTTAATTTTTTTTTATATTCAATATTGGTATCATATGAAAGATAATAAAAAATTATAAATTTTGGTGTATTTTTTGTAATGATTTGAGTACAAATAAAAAAGTTATGTCAGTTTGGGATTTTTATTTTTGTGGGGCCCTAGCTCAATATTACCATGTCCGTTAGTTGCTTAATGTGTTTTGCCTTGCTTCTACGTGTGTTATTCCGTTTCCCATAAGCCGCCACTTGAAGCGGCGGTTCTTTTAACTGGGGTTTAGGGGAGCAGTATTTTGGGAATTATTTCTAACCTAACCTTATTTTGGTAAATATTATTTTATTTAACATTAGTTTTGAAAAAATCTCTATAATTATATAGCTTCTCTAAATATACAGTCGGACATATAAATATACTCTTCTAAATTCTTATACTCCGTATGTAGTTTCCTTTTATACAATTGCGTCCGTACATATCTATATATATATTAACTCACTTAAGTGAGTATCCCGCCTAATCTTGGGGGTATTTAAGTAAATTCC